GTTCCCCTGGTTGACACATAAATGGCTATCCTAGAATTAAGTCCATATGATTTTTAGTTAKCCCTAACCTTCAAAAGGGGCGTGTATAAATATAACAGCCGTCGCATCATTAGTTTATSAATTATAACATTTTGAGACAAGCAGCTTCGGATATAGAAAAAAATGTATAAAAGTGAGTTTCGAGCATTGMTAAAATATAGCTTTTTGAAGGGAAAAACACAGGTGAAGCAGAAACTTGATGAGATTCCGGACACTGCTCTATAWTGAAATCAAGCACCAAKGATTGGTATGCCAAGTTTAGACATGGTGAAATAAGCACCGAAGACGAYGAACRCCCAAAAGWTGTTGTTATCRACGAAAACACAAAAAAAAGTGCACATTTTTGATGACCGTAAAGTGAAGTTGTTTGAGATAGCAAGCACTCCAGAGATATCAATTGAACGTATACATCATATAATGCACGAATATTTGGATCACTCGCTTTTGACCGAAAAACAATGACGAGTTGATGATGCAGAGCAGTGTTTGGAGATGTGTAAGCCTCATTTTTGCATCAATATGCCACAATGTGTGATGGCTTCATCATTTCACTAAGCCAATGCAGCGTGTCACAAGTCAGTGAATATGACGTCAAGCAGCCATGAATTGTGCTTCGAATTGCTTTTGCATCCACCGCATTCTCCAGATCTGATCCACAGCGACTATTTACTTTCCTCAGATATCAAAAGAATGCCCGTTGTGAAGAAATTTTCATCGAATGCTGAACAATTTTTTCAGAGTTTCTTCAATATGGAGTTTTTAACAACCTTACTATTCCACACTTTRGTTAAGCAGCAAAACATTTGTGACTCATTGCTGTTCTATGAKCTTGATTCGCCTCTCTTTTTACACAAATATTAGCTAAACAGATCTCTAACTTGATCTTTATTCTAGTGTTTTTCTTCACCTAAAGTAAACCCCCGTAGGTTAAGTATATAGTACAAAAAAATTCCCCGCTATCAGCACTTTATCGTTATATTATCTTAGCTTAAGGAATGTATAAGTTCATGAGAATTTTTTTCGAAATTTCTTTTTGTTCAATCTGTAACGCAGCGCAGTTGTCACGCCTTTTGCACTTCTCAACACCATGAGACATTATTAAAATTACAGTTGACTTTTTTATGTAATATCCGAGTGTCATAGTTGCTATTTATAATTTTCACATGCTTCTATTAAGTATTTTATATTTTCCGACGTCATCTTCGCAGCAACAACAACCACAACGGCAACTAACAGCTAGCGCGATCGTCATAGCTAACATACAGACTTACAATATACTTATGTACAGTTGTAACAGCATATATTAATTCAATAAAGCTACACTTATTCATTCAATTTGAGGTCGAGTTCAGTTTTTTAATCTAATTAACCAAACGGCTCACGCTCCCCATTTGGCTTTTGCTATGAATGAACACAGCATGTGAGCGTTGTTAAACAATACTGCTGCTCGCACCCAAATGCCCATTTTTTCTGTAGAAGACACACTCAGTCTGCCAGCGCTAGCCAAGAAGACAGTAGCGCAACAAAGTATATCTGTATATATGTTCGTATGCGCGCTTGTTTAGCGCTCTAGCCTAGTCACCCATTGACATTGGCGCGTATGTACGCTCATCTACTCATATTACTGTTAGTTCTTCACGCRGTTAGTTGTTTACTAGTTTGACGCTGAGAGCGTATAATGTGTGAGGCACTTACGGTTGTGCGTCGGAATGCAGTTTTGAGAACTTATACGGTTCAAGCGACTTCGGGGGTTCGAGAAACCGAAACATTTCACAAAATACGATCTACGAACATCTGAGCCTTAGAGCAGATTTTCCAAAAATATTTTCAAATATAAAATGAATAAAGCTCTTGAATGGAATTTTGTACCTTTTTGGCTTTAATCGAGTTATTACAGAGGAAGAAGGACAGCGAGAGTTGGTGGTCTTTCAACTTATAATAATATATTTCTTTTGGATGTTAAAATTCAGATATACATACCTATGTATAATATGGATCGTTTTAGTGATATATATGATACAATGTAGCACTATAATCTGCGGATTTTTGATATTGGTGACATTTGTGTCTGATCAAAAGACGATCTTTGTAGGGAACAAAAGATATAAYACTCGGATTGATCGAGAACCTGTGAAGTTATTGTAATTCATGCCAATCGTGCCTGCTCAATAGACGATCTATAACCAGCAAAACATTCAGGTCAGGATAGAGAATCAAATCACTAATATATACATATACGATATCGATAAAATTCCGCCCATAAAAATATTAAAATTTGATAAACGCATATTGCAGACGTCTAATTGTAGARCAAATTTAGAAAGAAAATTTATAAAGCTTTATAGTAGATAAGGTCAGTATTAACAATAAAAAAAAAAACAATGCACAGGAACAATAAGAAAATGTGAGAATTTGGTTGTACGGTATAAGAAAACTTGCACGTAAGAAAATTTGGTCAAAAGCAAGTAATTTGTAAAGTGGGAACAGTTTAAAACATAAATAAGTCGACCGAGTTAAAATTAGTCTAGTTAATTTAGAAGAATTTCCCACAAAGCAGCCATAGTAAGCTGGGAACAGTTATACTATTACTGGGAACAGTTAAATTCCAAAGGCTAGCAGCAGGTAAATTCAAAATACATAAAGAATAAAACCTAAACCAAAATACTGGTTACATAAATTACAAAAATATACTAAAATATTATTTCAAGTATAATTTTTCATCAGTACCAGCGAAAATCACTCCTTAGTAGAAACAGTAAAACCGAAGAAGATGCTTAAATATTATTACGAAGCCATAAAACTATGGAAATAAAAGAGAAATAGGCGTGCGAACTCGAAGTTATTTTCAAAGTAGGAACCGTTTAAATTAATGTAAATCAGTAAATTTTAAAACTCTTTGAATTCGTTTACAATTTGCGAGAAAACCTCCCGACTAAAACTGGGAAGAGTTTTGTTATATTGAGAACAGTTGAAATTTCAAAAACAAACATTAGCTAAGGGCAAAATATAGAAAAAACAGTGCTAAAATCAATGGCTTCTTAACTTCTAAGATAAGAAGTAAAGTCATATTTCAAAAATAGCTTTTCATTAAAATTCAAAGCAACTTTTAAGAAAAAAGCCTAAAATTATATTTCAAAAAAAAAAAAAAAAAAAAAATAAAAAACCTACCACAATCTGAAGACAAAATATGTCAGCAATTTATCGATATGCAAAAATCGTTTAACTTTTAATAAAAACAAAAAAAACTAAAATGCTATTTCAAAAACAACTTTTCATAATCAGCGTCAGCAAGGATCTCTAGCGA